CCCGCCTCCTGTGGCCTGCTGATATATGAACCAATATTTGTAATTCAATCTTCATCACAATATAATGCCTTTTGAATCTTGTTTGTTATCCTCTCGGCAGTATCTATTTTTTCAAACATACGGACGTGGCATGTATGTTTCCAGGTACTTTGGTATCACTGTGTCAACTTTACAAATTTTTTGCTTTAGATAAAATTCCATCAGAAAGTCATCAATATCATGGAGAATGACGGTAATCAGTCAGAGATGGCAAAGCACTGTGTGCAAAACAGTGTGAAAACTGTGTGGATAAAGGCCAAAACTGGTAATCCACTGTTGGATGGGTGCAGTCTTTCAGCCCTCAGGTGATGCTGTGTAAGGTAGCACCTACAGCCATGTCCAATATGATCACATGGGCCAAGGAATACCGTGGGAAGCCATTTTTACTCACTACAGTCTGTGCTTACTTCCAACCAAAACTTTGTAATAGAAGAAGAGAGCCATATATTAGCTTTGTTTTGGAAACTCAGCAGAGCTCAACTCAGGCTAAACACATCAACGTGTGTTCTGTGATCAGTTGAAGAACAACAGACGTCATTCTGCACAATTTACAAAAAAGGGGCTCATAAACACAAAGCCTGCGTCCCATTTAAAAGCAATTGAAAATCAATCACAAAGATTGCTCCAAATCGACAAACAATATACACCTGCAGAACTTTTTTGAGCGTGTTACTGCGTCATATATAAGATTTGTTTATTTCTCTTATCTGTTCTTGTAACTGATCAATAAATGATATTTTAAAAAATCAACAAACCACAGATTTAAATAGTTCTTGTCATAGGGTTTGCATTAATTATATTTATAAAACTAAATTAAGCTTATCGAGTTGAGTGACAAACACAAAAAACCTTAGATATTTATGTTGTGAGTGAAAAAAGGTGGAAGAATAATACTTTTCCTCCTTCTTTTCTCTCTCCCTTTACTGTTTTTTATGACTGGTACCAGTACTCATTGCCACATTCTTGAAGAGATCCCCCCTCTTGAGATTAGTGACTTCATTGTATATATTTTTTTAAGATAACCTCCATCTAGTTATCACGGCTTTATTGTAGTAGAGGCCATGGAGTAATATGTCACCTCTACACCTCCTTAAATGAGAAATGTGCTGTTTAGCCACAACATCTCACTTAAGAAAAAGCAGGGTATTTTTTTTCCATGCATATTGTTTCCTGCCAGCAGGGGAGCTTATCCTAGAGAGCAGTGATTTCTTTTGAAAGGTGAGGACGGCACATTGTGTTTATTAGAACAGCATCATTTCCATTGGTCTTTGCCTTTTTCCCCTCTCCGCTTCCTCTGGAAATGGGCTGGTTCTGTTCTTATTCACTCCCTCCTTGCCTTTCCTGCACAGGTCAAAAACACCAAATCCCATAATAATCTAAGAATATGAATGCTAGACTGTTGATTGAGCACTGCCTCCAAGCAAGTAATATCTGTGCCTCGGTGTGTGTGTTATCACCCCACACTCATACACACACACACACACACACACATAATCTTCAATTTGTCCTCTTGACTATGTCTCTCTTTTTAAATCCTGAGTCTAGTCAAATTTCTGAGGTTTGCATAAATTAAAAAAAAATACATGAAATAAAGTCTGTGTGTGAATATTTTCACATGTTGTTTCCCACTCGGTGTGTTTGTGCGCGCACATCTATTAATGTGTGTGCCTGTGTGACTGTATGCACGTTCTGAGTAATGGGCTTTGTGCATCCTCTCTTGCTGATGGCCTGGATGTATCCATGGCAACGCCAGGTCGATCCTAGCTGTAAGCAGAGCTGGTGAGAGGGACTTGAAAGGGAGCGTTAAACCTCTCCTCTCATCTGCCCTGCACTCCTCTCTGACCATGGCAAAATGCATGGCCTCGTTGAAATCCTGGCCCCATGGGTATGTGCTGTGACCGAGGACGCTCGCATCATAACACAACACTGCCACCTTTTGACCCGATGCAGAGGACATTTTGAAGTCTGCATTTGTTCGCCTTGTAATTCCATTCTTTTCTTTTTGGTTGATACACATGTGTTAAAAGTCAGGATTTCAGTATTTGTTTACCCTTTCAGCTATTGTTCTGGTCAAAAGTGTACCCAAATGCCCCCCAAAAAGAGATTAACTCATGCGCTAAAGTTGAATGCCCAGAGAGTAAACTATTCTTTTTTTTTCTTCTTTTGTGGCAAGAACATTCCTTAGATAACGGGAGTATTTCGGGGAAAGCAGAAAGGACAAAGTGATCCCTCATGTCTGGAGGAAAATAGTTGGTGTTTGTAGAAAAATAAGTATTTTGGATGAGAAACATTAGTACAAAAGTATAAAATACCTTCTGGAGGCTTATTTAGAAGGGGTTGCAAATATTCTGTGTGCGTCCCTGTAAATCAATCAATCAATTAATCTTTATTTGTAAAGCACTTTTCATGCAAGTAAAATGCAAGTAAATGCACCAAAAAGTACCTATAAAAGCAGAGAGCTTTATACTTTGAGCCCTGTCTATTCATTCACATATTTATTGATTCACAACAGTATTTCAGTTCTTTAAAAGTCACAATCACTAATCACTTATTTCTGCTTAAAACAAATTAACAATTCATCACTGTTTGTGGCAAATCCCAAAAGTCAAAAGCTGTGTTGTAGCTTGTTACAGTTACTGCATTTCCTCAATTGTCTTTAGCACTTTTGTTTAACTGTTCAGGCATTCCATCAGTTATAGTCTTGATGCTTATTTCCAGAAATATCTTCTTTATCCAATCAGTCTAATAGGAAAACATTGTTTTTGCCTCATTAAACGGTATTCATATAAGATTAGACAAATGGAGACAAACAGAAGGAGCTCAATGTTTTCATCTATGATATGTTGTCTCGTTTGGAGTGTTTTCTAACAGTTCCTCGTATTCTTTTTCATGACTGTTTCATTCCTTAGGGAAAGTTACAGTCTTATATGTGCTACTGTTGCCCCCTAGTGGGCGTCGACATGCTTGTAAAGGAGGAGTGGAAATGTTTCGAAAGTTAGAAATATACGAGGACCTTAAAACCAACACAAATGGGTGCAAACGTTGCTGTTTTAGGTTGGATTTATCGCCTAAACGTAGATGCCGAAACAATGTGGTTGATTGTAGTCTTGCGTCGTTAATCTGCCTGCAGAGCCAATATAATTGAGATATTTTGGCACAGGCAATTTAAACAGTCAACTCATTTTATTCAGGGGTTTACTGCTCTGCTGTTCGGTTTAATTTCTCCACAGCCGTTTCGTAACTTAACATCTTGTGCCAAATCCAAGATATGTTAGCATGTGTGAATATTCATGCCTGTCTCCGAGGGCCTGCGGATTGCAGCTGAGGGAGCGCGGTGACCTTCTTGTTAGGTCAAGATAAATGCTGGGGGCTATCTACTGATCACTAATACATATTCAAGAACCGCGGGGCCACCGCGCTGTTGAGCAAGCTCCAAGATCAAGCATGATTAAGGCCAAGCCACAACTGTTGTTTGCTCTGTAAAAAAATAATCTTCACAGCTGCAGTTAAACACATATTGACCAAGTCTGCTGCCTTTCTCACCCTCACATCGGATACTCCCCCTCGGGTGAAAGCACCAGCAGGCTGTTATGGTTTAAAAGCTTAACAAAAAAACATTAGTCTGTGTAATGTGTTTTCTATTGGTTTTACGGGTTTAATGTGTCTGTTCCTTGGAGGTATCCTGTGGTATCATTTGGTTTTATTGTAAAGGGTGTTGCCATCCCTCAAAATGATTCTAACGTTTCATTTTCTGGCACCATCATGTTTCTGAAAATAATCTCAGCCCTTCTAATGCAGCTGGATCAATACAGATGGATTAGTCTGATACATTTCCTTTTCATATTGCAACCAGCACCACCCCTGGGAATCTGCATTTATCTCCATATACAATCATGAGAGGATCCATTTAAGATGTTTTTCCCTCCAGTACTTGTAGGTATCTGCTTTCAGTTAATTTGCTTGCTACAGAATTGCTCGCAGCTATTGTTGGGGTTTTGTAATTTAAGGAGGATCTGTTGGTAAAATGAGCCATTATATTCAAATAATAATGAGAAAGTGGAAGTCTGGATTAAATTTCTTGACATCTCTCTGTACTGTTTGTTCTCCCAAAGACTATAACTTTATTAGGCATCACGCATGAACTTGATACTCTCATTTTCTGAAACATATTAGACAAGCGGACATTACTCTTTAACCTCTACAAACAATTTGGATTGTAAGAATCTTTTCTCAGCTGAAGTTGTGCAATATTAAATTATCACTTGTATTTGATAGCACAATTGTGCTGAGGTCATTTTTATTAACCGAGGGGTGAGGACACTCTGAACTGTAAAATCAGCAGAAATATAGTAGTCTCTTTTATCTTTTTGGAGCTCTCCATTGGCTCTCAGATGCTGCGTCGAGCCAGTTTTTTTTCCTGTAAATGGTGAAACCCAGCACGGTGACCTGTGGCCAGGCCCTGCGGGAGTATTCTGTGTCTTATACTCCTCACAGCTTCACCATCCATCCCTTCTTCCCCCTCCTGCTCCTTCTATTCTTCTTCTCCCGTTTCGATTTTTCTCTAAGGGGTGGATCTGCCCCCCAAGACTCAAGGACAAACCCAGCCCAGACGTCTCAGTGTGAGTGAATGGTGGATAGAATAGCTTGAGATTTGCCTTTCTGCTCGTGCTCTTTGCAGATGATAGTTTGACTTTGTTTGGGACAGCGTATGTTTGATTGGGTCTGTGTTTTCATTGACAGCCCCCATCGAAAGGAGTTTTAGGTCCTTTTAGTTTTTGTCATTCTTGAACTCATTCAACTTTAATGTTCATTAACTTTCAATTTGAACCAAACTTCCAACTGTTTGTTTGTTTTGTTTTTTAAATTGAATCAGAATTCGTTTTGGACTGATTGACAGCTGGACTTGTTGCTTTTAGTGGTTGTTTCATCTGTTAGGGCTTTTTACTCATTATCCTGCCACCATGCCAGTCCGGATCATGTGCACCATCTCCTTCTCTGCCGATGATGAGCCCAGCAGAGGATTTGATGACCACTACAAACGTGTAAAGAAAGGCGATGGGGATTCACAGGAATACCTAGATAGCTGTAGTCAGGCCGATGACGATACTTATGAGGAGGATGACAATAAGGTGGACGACCTGGCCACTTTCTTCGGTGGCTGCTCACTCCATGGAGCCAACCATGTGTTCGTAGAGGACAAGAAGTGTAGCGTTCGCCGGGGTCTGTGGACAGTGGTCTTCACCATGGCCATGTCCGCTTTCTTTTTCCAAGTATTTGACAGGATAATGTACTATCTGCAGTATGACTACATTACCATGCTGGATGAGCGATCAGCCAGCAACATGACTTTTCCTGCCGTCACCATATGCAACTTCAACTTTATTCGGAAGTCTCAGATGAGCTACAGTGACCTGATTTTCATGGGCCCCTTATTGGGCTTTGAAGAAGGCATGGCACCAGGCTTTCCACTCGCTCCAGAGCCAGACCGCCCACTGGGTTCACTCTTTAGCCTGGACGAGTTCTACAACCGCACTCGACATCGCATAGAGGAGATGCTGCTGGATTGTAGCTTCAGGGGTTTAGAGTGTGGCCCTGAGAACTTCAGAGAGGTAAATTACATCGAGACCCCTCAGCATGAAATATTTTTTTGAAATAGCTCACACGTTTGATCTTTTGGACACAAGCATACTTTAAATTGGGTATTACTAGTTCATGTGGTACACTTTAGGTTTTGATTGATTGGTAATAACATATATATTTAAGTATGAAGTTTCAATTGGAATGTTTCCCCAGATGCAAAGCAGGGGGAGTGCAACCTCTGTCAGTTCATAAGATTAAAGTATATCCAGTAAATCACAAAAAGCTAAGCTGTAATGCCTTCATAGTCGTTCTCCAAAAGGAGGACATTTTGAAAATTACTGATTCAGAAGTTGTTTATTTATCGCTGTGAGGGAGTTCAGTTATAATCCCAAGTCAATGCTGTAAATAAAGATGTTTTCCAAGTCGGCGTGCCTGCTTTAATGGAACTGTTCTTGTAAAAAAAAAAAAAAAAAAAAGAGCAGACATAAGCAGGCTCCATAACTTAAAGTGACATATTTGGCAAGCGGTTGTTGTTATTGAATTAAAAAAGAACTGAAGGAAATTTTTGTGTCGCTGGGAGGAAACATCAAGGCTTCCATTTGCCGCAAACATTTTCTTTTTTTCTTCCTTTTCTTTGTAAGTATGTGTGTGTTTTCAGCTGTGTGACTGCTGCCCTTTGTGTTCCCCTGAGAGTGACCATCAGACCGCACGCCAGGAATACTGAAACGCCAATGTAGTGTTGATGACATCCAACTATTGGTCTGTCAATTAGTTTGACCTTTTCCCAGTCATATGGATAGGTATGTGCAGACTGCTAATGGATATACGCAGGTTACTTCGGGCAGAAACACTGTTAGTGTGTACAAACGCTACACTTTTGTCATTTCAAATAACCCAAGAACGTCTTGATGGTCTCATTAGTTTAGTTTTTAGGATAATTCACAAATTAAATTTGAAAGTAGTAGTAAGAAGATTAACAGTAGTGAAACCTGAATTTCTCATTCTCATGAAACTTGTCTCAATTACCTTAATTTCATTTTATTTTCTAAGAAAAAATGAAGAAAGATTACTTGTTATTTTTGGGTTTTAGCCCAAAATCCGGCCCACAAATTTGTACTATTATTACTGTCTATAGACTTTATTGTAAACAAAAGTAAAGATTAGGATGTAAATCATATTAGATTACAAGTGTCACCGTTGTGACCCTGAATATTTTAAGATAATGAGGATTTGTAGGCTGGGTGACTTGACTTGATGAAGACTAAGTTATTTTCATTGCTACGTTTCATTTAATATCGGCCTGAAAGCATTACTTATATGGCTACCGCACTCACACTTCAATGTGAGATTATGCTCATGGATGTTCGAATTAGTTCAATGTGAAGCAGAGCCAAAAAAATATTCTTGAAATTTGATTGGACACCTTTGAACTGGCTTCACTTATAGTAACAAATAGCTGTGTCTGTTCTAATATTTAGTCTTTGTAGAGAAGATAAAAGATACAAAATGACACTCGGCATTGAAATATTGTCCTCTTTTTTTTACTTCTGTCATGCTGTACAACTGGACGACGTGTTTTACTCTGTGTGATGGATACGTCACATTAAATAAGCTTAGCCTTAATTAGAGCACATTAATAACCCCAGCAGTAATATTTAGACAGATATGTTAAAGATACCAATTGCTATTCCAAAAAGTCACAGACTTGAGTTCAATTGCCGTCTAGGAAGACGGTGTTGTTGGTAATTGGTAGAGAGCAAGATAACACACTTTGAATGTGTTAATCTATTTCTCACTTTTTCCCAAGGAACAAATCAATAGACTGCATTTATTTTTGCCTAGTCTCGTAGTTGTCAGCAGTTTATGTACCTCTCCGTTTGCCTATTCATTTTGTCTTCTCAAGTTCCTCTAATGGCCCCACTGACTCCATTGCTGGTGTTTAGAACAGGGAAAATGAGGAGATTGATTAATTTCTATCTCTCTCTGCTTCTGGGACTTTCTGCTTATCCCTCATCCCTTTCTGGCCATCATCATTCTCCGATGTTTGTGCAGAGGAAGTGTAAATCAGTGTGTCTTTGCATGTGTGCCTGCTGCAATAAGCTTTAGATAAGGGCTGGGTCAATAGGGATGCTTCAGGTTACAGCAAATCTGACCCAGAGCAGAATGTGAGCCTCCTCAGAGCACTGATCTAAGTCCCTGCTTCCTGTTTCAGCCCCACCCTGTTAGAAACAGCTCCACTTCAAAACTCCAGAGCTCAGCATGGATGACAGGATCAGACAGAGGCTCTGATTACGCCCATCTCCAGTCTCCTCAGACATCAGTCTGTAAACTAAAAGCTCAATCTCCACAAGACAGAGACATGAGCAAAAAAAAAAAAAGAAATGCTGGGTTCTTTTCCAAGAATTGAAGGGGTATTGCCAGGGCCTTCTTTGCCATCTGGCTTTGAGCTTTGAATGTGGTTCGGCATCTTTCATGAACCGCAATTGGGAAGAGACTGTAAGAGGCTGTAAAATGTAATGTAATTATCTTCAAGAATATGCCACAGTGAATTAGATATTAGTTAAATCACCTGGAAAGAAACGCTGTGTCTCTGCGAGCTGTAGATGTCAATTCCTGCTTGTGCAGAGAGCACTGAATATAAAACTCCACCACATCTCTACCGTTTAGGCAAATTAAACTATCAGTTCTAGAAATGGAAATTTATGTTCAATAGTTTGTCTGCCGGTGGAGCATGTTAGACACATTTTTGGAATGAAAGCTAGAACTAACTCTTGTTTTATCAACAGGCTTGAAAGATGAAAGGTGATGCTCACTGTTGAAATACATGTCAATGCATAATCATCTAATGCTGTGTGAGAAAAAGTTTGCCAGGCCCATGTATTTCATTTGAGGTCATGAGGAGGAACAGTTCTTGTCTGAGAGTGGTGATTAAAGCTTGCGCTGCAGAAACGCTTCCTTCAATGAATGACATGACAGCATGAGGACATTAAATATTCATGCTATCATTCAAATTCAGACGGCTGGGATTCTCTCTCATCTTCTGGACCATTATTACCTGTCTGCACGACGGGAGTAAAGATCAGCGCCCTCTTTTTGGTGCCTAGCTGGATCTTGGGAATTATTGTAGTTTTGCATTCTCACTGTACCCCCAATCTCACTTAATTTATGTTTTTTTTTAAGTCCCATTGTCAGAATTGAATCACAAGGGGGCAGTGTTACACAGTCATTTTAAAGGCCTAACTGGTTCTCTGGCAGGGTAGGCTACATAGTGATCTCTTTTCTTTATTTTTGTTTACAAGTAATCCCTCAGAAACGGCCTTAATCCCATTTTTAAAATACTCATTGATGCCCACTACAGCACAGCATCAGTGCTGCTGAGCAGCAATGACCATTATCAGGTTTAAGGAATCATGTAGCAGCAGGGCTGGTAACAATTTCCCGGGGGGATTAAATTCTATTCGTATATTGTGGGGATTAGGAAAATAAATAGTGTAAATCAAACATAAGATGACTTTTGTTTAGGGTGTGAAATGCCTTGGCAGCGACCCATCTTTGATTTATTCTTTAATCCTCCCCTCATCACTGCTCCTTTCATTTCAGACCCCATGCTGTTTCCATACATGAAGGACAACACACCATGGCATTCTGTTCTGTCCTTAATATTAGTAGTGGATCATTCTCAGATGCACTCATACTAATAACATATCTATTCAGTCCTCTCTGGAAGCATGACACAAGACATGCATCAGCACGCACACCCCACTAAGATAAGTGGGGTGTGTGTGCACAGTGGGGTGTAAGTGGAGCACTCACACCACTTAGATGAGTCCAATACATGGCAATTGTTGAGTTTCGACGTGGACGGATACATCATTGCCTCTCCTCAGTATTAGTCAACTCTTCGTAAAATGATTGCAATCCATTCTTTTAAGAGGCATAAATCAGATGATAGAACTTTCATGTCACTCCCAGACTAAGATATATGATGATGTTAAAATGAGAGAAACTGCTGTCTTTTGAAACAATTATATATGAAAAAGGCATATGACAAGTGTCCCATATAGGGCCAACAGCCACTTATCAGGATCTAATTAGGTTGATGAGGGGGTCTTTATAGTTTCAAACTGGAGTGTTCACCGTTCTTTATACCAGAGCTGACATAAAACATGTGGCTCCTTTTAGCAGATGGGATGTCACAGATGACTTGTGAGGAGAAAGGTTGAGTTTTTTTTTTTTAAAGCGCTGGACTCGGGCTCTGACCTCAGAGTTTTCTCATGATGTCAGGCACTATTTGTCTTTCTGTCTTTCCTTTGAAATACGCGCACGTGTCTCAGTGTGTTCTCGTGTGTGTTAGAGCAAGGAGATAGACCTTCATAGCTGTACAAATCCATTTCACCGAATAATTAACAATTGCCAACTCTTATCCTATTTCAAGCCCACTGAATTGTCCGGAAAAGAGATGTTTAAGTGGTGTGTGTGCGTGCATCTGTGTGTGTGCGCGTGCGTGCGTCTGTGTGTGTGTGTGTGTGTGTGTGTGTGTGGATGAACTGGTTTTTAGTGCCTCTCCCTCTGCAGGGTTTCATAGATGACTGCATCTGTCATTGTCAGCTGGACTCCATTAGAAACTGGTGACTCTTTCCTACAGAGTGTCGAATCAGCAGCTGAACTCACTTTAAACTTAAGACGTGCGATGAAGAAGACTATCAACAGTTTATTTTTTGCTCTATAACTATGTATTTATTTTGAGTACAATTTGTAACATGCTGCATAACAGTCAACTCTTTCTCTGTCCTCACAAAAGATTGCATGGATCCCTAGCCACGTTGGTCAGAGAAGTGCAGAGGAGGGGAGCTCTTAAATCACTTCTCAGACATGCCCACAAATTGGAATGAGGCCATTTAAAAGTACAATGGTATTGTAAAGGTTTTAGTTTAGGGATGTGTTTTGTTTTTGTAATAATCTGGGGGGGAATAAACGATATATATATACATATGTATCCGAGTTTTAAGTCTGTTTTAAATTAAAGATT